GCGGGCAGACGAGAGGGAGGGGAGGGGCGGGGCCTGGCCCTAGCGGGGACCCGCTGCCGGCCTGCCCTTGGGGTGGGGGAGGGGAGTCGGACGGCACCAAGTGCTTCCTGCAGAGGGGGACGCGCCCTCCCTCCCGTTGTTGCGTTCAGCCTCTCCCTATACCAGTTGGTACGGTCCAGGCAGGGGTCCTCACTTCGGTCCGCATATGACCAGGCAGGCCCTTACAGCTGTGGGGGGGACATGGAACAGCCTGTTCCTGCCCCATTCTTGGGAGGGGGGATGCCGGCATTATGTCATCACCATGCAGCCCCCACCTCCACCCCTGCCATCGAGTCGCTGTCCTGCCCTATGAGCTCATACACGGCCCCATGACGTCACGCACTCCTGTGATGACATTGCCTTGCGGCAGGGGGAGGACCGTGCCCTGTGACATCACCGCACCTCTGCATGGACCGGTAGCATCCTCACATCATCAGACCGTCCCATGACATCACCATGGCATTGTGTCAGGACACTGCCTTTCCCATGACACACTGCGATTGCCCCATGCTGGAAAGTGCCATAGGATGTTACATCGGGAAGGTGCCGTGAGACAGCAGCACAAATGCAGCCTGACGTCACATGTTGAAGAAAAATGCCATGCTGGGATGCATATCTCCAGTGGCATCCCCCTAAATGGGGGCCATCCTGGGAAAATTACAAAAGATGGCAACTCAGCATCTGCAGCCACATCTCTTACATAGGTATTAGAGATGTAAAAGTGTAACCATTTATGCTTACGTTTACATTACGGTTACATGCTGGCTCCCTGAGAGCAGGACTGGCTGGGGCTGCTGGCCCATTCCTGGGGAGGCTTCACTGTGGGCACTACAGTGTAACTTTACTCTGGGAGCAGAGCCAGCAGGGGCTGCCAGCCCTATTTCCAAGGAGGATTATATATAAGCTTTCTACTGAATAGCCCACAGTGTGTGTAACACCTAGGATTTTTAATGCTTACACGGTTACGTTTTTGAATGACTTTTTACATCCCTAACAGGTATAGCTTGGCAACATCATAAATATAACCCTGCAAATCCACAGATATCTGCTTTATATCCACGGGTACTGGTATCTGCAGATATGGATGCAGATATTCATGGCTAATTTTTGCAAATATGGATGCAGATGCAAATATAAATTTTTATCTAGAACCATGCAAATGTGGATATCTGCTTTACATCCACAGGTATCCATATCCACATATGTGGCTGCGGATATCACAGTTCATTTTTACAGATACAGATGCAGATCTAATCATAAGGCGAATGTAAACCCATGTTTACTAAATGATTTGAGATGATTTTATTCTTATTTCATTTCTGCAGAAAGATATTAATAAAACATAACTTAGTTCCACTCTTTTTAATTATTTATTATTATTATTATTATTATTATTATTACAGGGATCCTCTTTTTCCTCCACCTAATGAGACTACAGACCTTCCACTGCCAAATTTAACACCAAGGCATCAAGAACTTATTCCTACTCCCTGTGGCCCTGTAAGTACTTTAACTATGTAATCTTGATTCAGAGCATAAGTTATTTTGATAATTTTATAGCAGAAAAGAGTCCAAAACACCTTAGGGAAAATCTCTTCCAAACCATCTGTAATATGTAATACTTTGGCTCTGCAAGAGATCAAATGGTATGGACATGTTAGCAGTGTATTTAGTTCTTTTAAACACTAGCATGCAGAAATACATTATTATTGAAAGGGCGAGGAGAGTGAAAATTCAGATCTAAAATGCACAGAATAGTATAATCTTTATTGTCATTAATTACAGAAACTATCAGGTTACACTCACATTTTTTAAAACCCACACATTGCCTTTCATATGCTACAAAAACATCTTAGCTTATTAAGAAGGTAGGAATTTTTTAACTCCTTGTAATAAAAATAATTAGTCACTCACTCTTTAATTTCTAGTCCGTTTCAGAGCTGTGTGCTTGTGCAGCATTGAATTGCAAGCACAGCAAGAGAAAGTGTTCTTAAGACTTCCTTCTACTGGAATTTTAAAAGAAGCAAGTGAAGAAAAATAGGAAATGAACCAGATATGATTTGAAATTGCTTCCTGAAAAAAAGAAAAAACAAAAAAATCAGAAAACAGTAGGGAATGTTGAAAACCATGTCCACATTATCAGTTGATTCTTTACTAGCTCAAAAGTGAAATATTAGAAATGCCATAATCCAGTAATCAGAACATCTTGAGCTGTATTAATCATGCCTGCATAGTTTTTTCATTCAGAAGCCGATGGACTATACAAATGGTTACTTTACTTGTGGTCTCATTGGAAGTCTTTAACTAATTACTTGTGTTCATAACTGGCAGAGTATTTATGCTGTGAGGTTTTTGTATTTTCCATTGGTTTGATCTGTAAACTGAAATAATTATTAAATAGAAATCCAGTAGACAATTTAATTATTTATTGCCATTGGGGACGTCTAGATGGAGATAAAAGACCTGCAATTGAACTTGGGTTGGGCCCAAGCTCTGGGACCCTCTTCCCTTGCAGGGTACCAGATCTTGATCCCAAACATTTATACAGGAATTTTTTAGCCCCAGAATCCAAAACCTGCAAGCTGTAGGTTTAGGGTTTTTTTTTATCCCCGTATAGACATGCCCACTATGGCCAGCATATCACCAATTTACTTATGTCTGTGCTCAACTTTAAGTATATGCTGAAGTCTCATTGATGTCAGTGACACACATCCTTAAGTGCTCTCCTGAATAGTGATGATTTTAAGCATGTGCTTATGTGCCTTCCTGCATTGCAGGGTCTGTGTGACTAAATCCTAATATTTTAATGGGGAAATGTTACTGGTTTATATAATAAATAGTACAGTCCATATGCAATAAACTAACGTATAATAACCTCTTATTGTCATCTGTAGAAAGAAGTTACAAAATGGAACTATGTGGCAACAGTCATGTTTTACGAAATCCTTCCTCCAGATGACTCTTCCACTCTTATTAAGAGTAATAGAGATGTAGCCATGTTAGTCTGATCTTGCTGAAACAAAGGAAAGGACTATGCAGCTACTGTACTGTGAGAGACTCTGCTACACACTATCCAAGAAATTAAGGAACCACTTGATTAGTATCCTGTACAAGAAACAGAAGAATATCAAGAATTAAAGTGCTGCATAATCCTTTCTTTTGCTTCACTCTCATTAACAGGCACTTAAGTCTTTTTCCTGTTGCCAGTTGCACAGAAAAAATGAAGAGCATGGCATCAACATGGTTTCTCAGTAACAGCTGGGTCTGAGATTTTGACTGCTCTGAGGAAAAGAGAAAATGTGGCTTATTCACATTATCTGGACACTGCTGAGGAATCTGAAGGATTCAGTTAATTTTCTAACATAAGTTCTATAGCTAAAAGCATTTTGTGTGTGTCAGTTTGGTTTAGCAAGTGTATTTCTATGGGTGAAAGTCCTTGATTTTAGAATGATGAGGATTACAGGATTCTGGCCTTCTTATTCAGGGCTACTTCTAAGAGCTGAATTTGACCCCTCTGGATGAACTAGAAAATTCACCATTGTATCTAGGGATGGGAACTACTGTGCAACAACCTGGCCATCTCTGGTCCTCCTTAGTTTTGGAGTAATTTCTTCCATTCTGTGGAGCTTCCCTTTATGTTTGTAAGTTGTCCCTGTGATTAATTGGGTCACAGAGATCCCCTTGAGACTGTCACCTGCCCTCTGAAATGTCTCACCACCCTGTTCTGTTGAGCCAGAAGCTCTGTTCTTCCCCAGCAAAGTCACAGAGTTGAAGTAACAGCTCCCCAGCAGAATAACACAGATACTAAGAACAGCTCAGAAAGTTTGCTTCCTTTATGAAAGAAAGATATGCACAGCTGTTAACCCAACCCCATAACAATTGTTTGTATTGGGTTAGATAATAAAAGTGATTTTATTAAGTATAAATAGTAAGATTTAAATGGTTGCAAGTGGTGACAGACAGATCAAAGTAAATTATTAAGCTAAAATAAAACAAAATACACCAGTTAAGCCTAATATACTAAGAGAAATTGTTACAAATCATAATTTCTCACTCTAGATTTTATTTCAGATAAAGTTCTTCTCAGGTCAGAGCTGAACTTTTTTCTGACCTGGGCCTAGATTAGGGGTGGGCAATAATTTTTGATCACTCCAAGAATTTGGTAAGTGATCAAGGACTGCACTCTTTCATGATATTAATGGAGAAGCTGTGGGGTCTGGGATGGAGGTTGGGAGCAGAAGGGAGCTCAGGTTTGGAGACTGGGGTGCAGGAGGGTGTGTGGGTTCTGGGAGGGAGTTTGGGTGAAGGATAGGGTTATAATCAGGGGCATAGGGCCTGGGAGGGGATATGGAAGCAGGAGAGGATTCTGACCTGGAGGAGCAGTGTAGGAAGGAGTGCAGGGTTTGGGAGGGGATTGTGACCTGGAAAAGGGGTTCAGGAGGAGGTTTAGAGGGTTTGGTTTGTGACCTGGCATTGGGGTACAGAAGGAGGTGCAGGGTCTGGTAGGGAGTATGGGTGCAGGAGAGGATTCTGACCGGGCGCAGGAGGTGGTACAGGGTTTGGGAGGGGGTTGTGACCTGGGGCAGGGAGTAGCAGTGTGGGAGGGCGTGGGGTGCCACTAGATTGTGCTGGGGACAGGTGCACCATGCAAGCGGCACACAGCATGCAGAGAGCAGATGAGCCCCTTAGCTGGTTGCTTTGAGCGTTGTCTCAGGGTGTGGCAGGCAGGGAGTCTACATGAGGTTCCCTCCAGGCCATGGGACGATAGTGGGCTGGATTTGGCCCTCACAATGGATTTTGCCAACCCCTGGTCTAGGAGCTTCTCCCTCCCATCATTAGAGTTCTTTTGTTTCCAGGTCTTTTCTTGTGGCCTCTTTGATGGGGAGCAGTTTGCGAACCTAGATGAAGACATGCTTCCCATTCCTTAAATAAAATTTTCCCAGAATGGGAAGTTTTTGTTCCATTTCCTCCACTCTTGTGGAAAAATACAAAATTCAAGATGGATTCTAGAACCAGGTAGCTGGTCACATGTCTTTTTAGGACCAGTCACAGTTTAGACTTACAGGAAAACCAAGACTACTTACAGATAATTGTCTTGAGCATCGGGCCATTAAGTTCCATGAGTACCACTAATGGCTTTCATGAAAAGTCCTAGATTAATAAACAGATTTACACTTCATATTTCTTACTTCATATACAAGAAAGATATATGCACACAAATAGAATATACACAGTGATAGGATTACAAACTTTTCAATGAGAGGTTATATGTCACATTTTGCATAAAGCATACTTGAGTTATGCATATTCATATTAAAATACATTTCCATAAAAATATGGGAGAGCAGCAGTAGAGTGCCTTTTAGTTTAAAAAGTATCATTTAAGTAATTTAGTGTAATGTATTTTTAAGGTGTGATAATCTGATTTTAAAGAGATGTGTCTGAGTTTAAATATTTTCTCATTCCAGATAAAACCTTGGTCAGAGTTGTCCTCTCCTGTCAAGATCTACTTCTGTGTAACCATCCTCTCTCTGCTGAGTGTAATAGGACTAACTATAGAAAACCTCGTTCAACAGACTGAAGAAAATTTCACCGTTTCTCTGATACAGTTAATTGGAATTGGTAAGTAATGACCAGTTACTGCACTTGAAAAATAGACCCACGAATTCATCGCCCAATTAGTAAATAAAGGACTCTTACATTTCTGATTTTGTTCTAGTTGATAGAATAATATACACTGAGCCGCAATACCCACAAGAGCAACATTATACTAGTGCAGGAGAACACATGCTAGACCAGGGGTCAGCAACCTTTTCAAACCAAAGAGCCAAACTACATCAAAATTTAGAAAAAGTGGTCAACAAAGAGCCATATAAGAATGCCTATTTGCATGGCTGATAAAATACGACTTAATATTATGGACATGTGGATTAATAATAGCATAAATGAAACATTGCACTCGCAGACTTTAATGGGAATTCTGCTGCTGCATCTTTTCGCGTATTTCTTTGAAGTTTACATCATAACTGGTCTGCATGCATTCAGGCTGTCTTCTGTCAATCTTATGGCAGGGGCCTGGAGATGTGGGGCTGCAGGTGTCTGGGCTGGGGTATATGAGGCTCAGGGCACAGTGTTGGGATGTGGGGGGGTGCAAGAGTGTTATGACAAGCGGCTGGAGATGTGGCAGCACAGGAATGAGGGTCGGGGTGTATATGTGGGCTCAGGGCAGGGGGTTGGGATGTGTGGGAGGTGCAGGAGGCAGGGCAGAACACTGGGAGTGGGAAGTAGAGTATGTGGGGGGAACCCTGAGGCCAGATGATCTTATCTGGCTGGGGCTGGGCTGCTGCATCCAGGCAGCAGTGGCTGGATGAGGGGCTGGGCCAGGATCACCGCAGCCAGATCATGGCCTCCCTTCCTACCCATGCCACAGCAGTAGGAGGGCTGCAGACCCCTCTTCCCGTAGCTAGATGAGGTCTGGACCGCGGGGCCTGTCCCAGGATTGGGGCTGGTGACAGGATGCTATGGCAAGATAGGCTGAGCCCTGATTGGGGCCTTGCAGTACGTTCTTACTGGGACATCCCGCCTTCCTTTTACCTCTGGTTAAAGGTGAAATAGACGGAAAAAAGACCTCGACATGAGTAATTACACATTTTTAAAAATTTTGAATTAATTTTTCATTTTAATTTAACAAGTTTCATGTATTTTGGGAATGACAGAAGATCCGTATTTGCTTCTGTACTGTGTCATATTTGGCTCGATAGCCATAGGTTGCTGACACTTGTGCTGGATACTTCTGTGGCAGTTGTTTTTTGATATTTTAGAAGGAAGATTGAGTGTCAGGTAGAAAGCAATTCTTGGAATAGCTCAAAATAATTATTCTGGTTTTAGGATATTTTGGCTTAGGACTGTGTTACAGTTTCTGTTATTATTTAGTTTCAGTAGCGTAGTTTCCCATCGGGCAACTGTACCAACGATTTTAGTTTTGGACGATGGTCATTTTACTAGACCAAGTCCTCCTCCATGTTAGGGATGTGAAGGACTAGTTGACTATCCGATAAGCAAATACTTATCCGATAGTCGACAGGATAGTCAATTAGTCTCTCCCTTGCTCCCTCTCTCAGATAGAGGCATCAAGGCTGGGGGGGGGGGGGGGGGGGGAGAAGAGAGGGTACTTCAAAGTGGCAGCACCACTTGAAGCCTGAGGCCAGACCCTGGGCTCCACACTGCACCGCCTCTTTGAAAAGAAGCATGCAGCCCAGGGCCAGCTGGGGTATCCCCAGGGTGCACGTGGCGTTTCAAAGCAGCAGTACCGTGTGGAGCCCAGGATCAGATGAGGACTAGGGATGTGAAGGACTAGTCGACTAGTTGCTCCCTGCCCTCTTGCTGCCTCTATCTGATAGAGGTAGCAAGGGCAGGGGGGTGAAGAGGGGAGTTCTTCAAAGCGGCAATGCCTCATGGAGCCCGGGGTCAGCTGCTGTGTGCGGCGCTGCCACTTTGAATCCTGCAGGGAGCCTAACGTCAGGCTCTTCGTGGCATTTCAAAGCACTAGCTCAGCGTGGTGTCTGGGATCAGCTGGGGAGTACCCAGCTGACCCCGGACTCCATGCGGCGCTGCCATGTTGAAATGCCATGGCAGCATTTCAAAGCGGCAGTGCTGCACGGAGCCTGGGGTCAGCGGGGGAGTCCCCAGCTGACCAAGGGCTCCACGTGGTGCTTTTGCTTTTCAAGTGTAGCAACAGCTCTTGGGCTGTTGCTACACTTCAAAGGTGGAGGCGCCCTATCGACTGAATAGTCGATGAAAAATGCCCGAAACTTAACATCCTTACTCCATGCCTGAGAGCACCTGTCAGCTCCTGTTTAAATTTCTCTTGCTTTCACCCATAAGCCAAGCAAGAACTGCTCATCTGTGTGGGAATCATGCCTGGAGACTGAGAAGGGCAGCTGGCTTTCGTTCTGAGCATAAGCCAGCTTTGGTATTGTCACTAAAACACTGTGAAGGCTGTTGATGAGGTTTTATAGTCTCTAATTAACACACACACACACACACCCTCTCTCTCCCCCCCCCTCCACTACATGCATCTGACGAAGTGGGTCTTTGCCCACGAAAGCTTATGCTCCAACACTTCGGTTACTCTATGATGTGCCACAGGACTCCTCGCTGCTTTTACACATTACAGAAAGCTCGGCTTTAATGAGCAGCTTTTCACACAAGAATCATCAGGACAAGATAGGGTTTGGGACACTTGTGCACTGATCCAATTCAGCATCCTGCCTCTGTTAGGGTATGTCTACACTACCACCCTAGTTCGAGCTAGGGTGGTAATGTAGGCAACCGGAGTTGCAAATGAAGCCCGGGATTTGAATTTCCCGGGCTTCATTTGCATCTTGCCAGGCACCGCCATTTTTAAATGTCCGCTAGTGCGGACTCCGTGCCATGCGACTACAGGCGGCACGGACTAGGTAGTTCGGACTAGGCTCCCTATTCCGAACTACCGTTACTCCTCGTGAAGCCTAGTCCGAACTACCTAGTCCGTGCCGCAGTAGTCTGAGCTCAATGACAGGGAGTCAGGAATGCTCTCACTATCCCCATCGGTAACACTGCACAGTTGGGTTGGCATATTATGGGATTCTTCTTCCTCTGAAGACTCTGAATCTAGTCACTAAGGGTATGTCTACACTACCACCCTAGTTCGAACTAGGGTGGTAGTGTAGACATACCCTTAGTGACTAGATTCAGAGTCTTCAGAGGAAGAAGAATCCCATAATATGCCAACCCAACTGTGCAGTGTTACCGATGGGGATAGTGAGAGCATTCCTGACTCCCTGTCATTGAGCTCAGACTACTCTGTTTTCTACTCTCCAGCCACTAGGTGGAGACAAGAACTCTATCTGTGCATCTCTACCACCTCATTTACAGCAGGAAAAAGAGGCCTATGTACCTGAGCTAATAGGATTTTAACATATTACTTAAAACAATGTAGATAAGCCTAGTTGCAGTTTTAACAACTTGTCTGGTACTAGCTGGTAATGGGACTGGGACAAGGAACCAAAGGTGGGGAAGAGACAGAACTGGGACAGGGTGTAGGGGATGGGGCAGAAGAGGTCATGCTTGGGGAAAGGGAGAGGTGGATTATACAGAAGAGTCTGTCCTCACTAGAGCTCTCTTCCAGAGCCTGGAAGGTAGCCCAAGATTCCTCAAGACTCACCGTTCCTCAGCTGTTAGCAAATATCTGTAAAATACACTAAAATGTTCCCCCCTCAAAAAAAAAAAAAAAAGACTAGAAACATCATGTGTTTTCTCCCTGGATTTGCTCTTGGAAGGCTCAGATATGTAAACTGTGAGCTCTCACACTTGAAGGGCCAGCTCTCAAGTGTCTTGAATCTCTATCGAAGATGTCCTTTCCCTCAAAATGTGTATGAATCATTGGAATTTAACATGTGTTAACAACAAATGAGATTTAAAGAGCCTGATTAAAATCCCTTCTCCTCTTAACGGGTCCGCTGTCAATTCTGATGAAGTTTCACTAATTCTACTGTCACTATGCAGCCTTCCACAGTAGACAAGAACTGAATGTCTAATATTAAAAAAATCAAGTAGAAACCACTTTTCTTTTTGACAAAAATATTTTGCATAGAAAAACAATAAGAAGTCCAATGGCACTTTAAAGACTAACACATTTATTAGGGCATGAGCTTTCATGGGAGACAACTTCTTCCCCAGATGCTGAAGAGAAAAGAAAAGAAAAGAAAAGAAAAGAAAAGAAAAGAAAAGAAAAGAAAAGAAAAGAAAAGAAAAGAAAAGAAAAGGAAGGGATTCAAAGATGGACTCACTTCCTCCAATGCTGAAGAGTAAAGAAAAGAAAAAAGGAAGGGATACAGAGATGGGGCTTCCGTTTTTCTTTGGTCTTCAGCAACTGAGGAAGTGAGTTGTAGCTCATGAAAACTTACGCCATTATACATGTTAGTCCTTAAAGGGCCACCGGACTCCTTGATGTTTTAGCTAAAACAGACTAACGCAGCTACCCCTCTGAAACATCTCACATACAAAAGCACATGCACACCAAATTCACAAGGCCAGTTTTTCAGTTTGCCACTTGTTAGTGGCCTCATTTACCATCACAGGAAGAGTGAAAGAGGGAGTCCAATGTTCTTTTCCTGTTCATTCATTTCTTGTGATCAATCATTCACACATTACAGACAATTATAACAGAGTGTGTCCACTGGACTAACGCGGTAGGATTGGGTTTGTGCTGTGGAATGGGGTCATAATGCAAAGTCTTTGTCTTGACTAGTCACATTTGTTTACAATAGTAATAGAAATGTAGCCGTGTTAGTCTGGTGTAGCTGAAGCAAAATGCAGGACTTTGTAGCACTTTAAAGTGCTACATAGTCCTGCATTTTGCTTCCTTTGTTTACAAATCTGTTTCAGGGAGCACTTCTCTCTTAAGCACCTTGTCAATATTTGCTTGGGGAGTGGAGCACAAATCCATTCTTTTTAACTGTCCATTGTCAGCACTGCTAACTGCACTTAGCAGCTATAACAGAGCAATAAGCCCCACTACAGTTGAAATTGGTCAAGATTTGGGGGCGCGGCCCTTAAGGCACATGATAATGGCAGGTGTGGTCATTGCCCGCTTTGTTAGTGGACCCAAGTTGCAGTTTTCTGCATGTGAACTAAATCATAAAGACATTTATCTCCTCCATTTTCTGTGTGGGAGAATTCTGCTGTGTTGAAAACTATAGTGCTTTGTGTAAGCACGTATCAGTAACTGCACTTTCCCCATCCCTCCCCTGGGACCTTGGGACTGGGGATATTTCTGGTTGTGGGGGTGAGATGGAACAGTGAGATGAAACAGTGTGTGCTATATGACAGCACCAGGCAATCATCATGTTCCATTTCATCGCCTGTGAATCATGGGTAAGAGTTAGGAGAAAAAGCTTCAGTGCATGTGGGGTAGAGGACTACTGAAACTTGGAACCAGATACACACCCCTTATGCTAGCCACACTACAGGTTGGGACCGGTACAGGGCCACATTTATCCACACCCCTTAGGTATAAGCAGGGATGCCAATTTTGGTTGGATGTATTCTTGAAAGTTTCATCACCAGCCATAATATTTAATTAAAGATTAATCTTTAATTCTTGGAGACGCCAGGACAAACCTGGAGAATGCAACCCTAGGTGTAAGCTAGTTTATTTGCCCTTTACTTACCTTCAGATACTTGCTTCTGAGGTTTAGGTGTGACCAATAGGGGATTATTTATGACACAATCATTCACGTGTGTACAGTTGCTAGTGTAGATGTACCCTAATGTTTCAACCCAATGTAGACGCAGACAGACTGTTGTCAAATCCATTTGTCTCCCTTCAGCAATAATCTATCCAGTACTGCTTCAGAGCTAACCCATAATGCACTTAGCTAGTTGAGCAAAACTGTTGACATGCATGGGTGTATAACTGTGTGTGATTAATAACTAGCCAGCCAGAGACTGATACGTTTCTCATAATTACTTCCACTGGGAAGGTTACATGATTTTGCTTAGTTTTATTTAAGAAACACTCCTCTCCCCCATCTCATACTATTTCATAGCTGCTGCTAATTGGTTAGGGAGTTGATAGGGTAATATTTTCAAGAAGGAGTATGAAAGGCAAGCCAAAAAAATGGATCTCATACAGTGTGTGAGACCAGTGTGTCAAGACCATATGCTACTAGCCCTAACCCCTAGTGCAGGCATGGGCAATAAAATGGCAGTGGTTCACCAGGGTTAGCTCTCTGCACCTCCGCAGGCCCGGACCATCACAGCTCCCATTGGCCGGAACAGCGATCCACAGTCAATGGGAGCTGTGATCCCCGTACCTGCGGAGGCATAGGTAACTACGATGGTGTGGGGGTTGCCAGGGGCTAACCTTGGCAGACTGGATGTGGCCTTGAGCTGGTATTTGCCCACCCCTGCCCTAGTGTGTTCTCAGTCCAGGTGATTATTGACCTGTCTTTCTCCTTGTCAGTGTTCTGCGTGTACTATGTGACCAGAGGGATCCTGCAGGAGAATCGCCTAGAGCTCATTGTCTTCGTTCTCTCCATCTTGCTGGTGATGTTTCGATCCATCGTCAACTACACAGTTCTCTCTGCTAAACAGAAGCCAGATCTCCTGGTCAGCCTCCCACTTTCATTCTCTTTGCTTTCCCCTAAATACTGACTTTGACAATCTCAGGGAAGGAAAAGCATCCTAAGTCTGACAAGACAGCTGACCTGGGGAAAGACAGGCATCTTATTCTACAGAAGTTTGCTCATTGAAGATTGATCCAAATTTCTATCTTTTCAAGTATTTTTATGGTTCTCATCATGGGACTATCTGAGTGCAGAACAAACATCAAGGGATTTTACCTCAACACCAGTGGTGTTGCCAGAAGAGCCCACTTGGGTGGGCCCCAAATTTGGGTGGGCAGGCAATGCTGGGGAGTGGGGTTAAGCCCCAGTACTCCAACCCTGCTCCCTGTCTGCAGCACAGGGTAAACCCTGGTGCCCCAGCCCTGCTTCTCAGCTGGAGTGCTAGGCAAGCTGGCAGGGGGTAGGCCTGGGCCTAACCGTAGCTATGCCCCTGCTCAACACTCCCTCCAGGATTCATGGGGTCCTATGACGCACTATTAAATTGATGCCCCTTTGCCCAACAGAAGCCCTGGGGGAGGAGAGATGATTAATTTTTAGAGAAGTGATTTTATAATATTCAGCAGCACACTAATGAAATACTTGTAAAGCAAATGGTGCTGTAAATAACAGTAAATTCAGAACCTGACAGTATGTATCTAGGGTCGGAAAATGCCTGGGAAATGGCTTCGTTCCCAATTGAGTGGCAATTTCACAGGTTGAGTGTTTTGCTAATAGCTCTGGCAGGCTTTGTCACTTTTAGGTTAACGAGATCCTCTCCGAGGAAGCAAAGCCACAAGACAGGGACAGGAAGAGGCAGATGAATGGACATGAAGACCCAGTGGTGCCCCAAATTTTCAGGTGCCGTCTGCAGCTGAATATTCTGAGGACACCCCTCTGAATTAGGGAACTTTTTACTTCCTGGTACAGATGGATACCGACACAGAGTAGATTGTGAGTTGCCTAACAGGAATTCTAAGCCAGGAATTGAACCCAGGTTTACACCTGAGTCATCATGCAATGCCCCTAACCACCAGCCCAAATCTTCCTACCATTATATTTGTTGGGAAAAGCCCTGGGAGTCTTGCCATGCTGGGAAAGCTGTGTTATCTATTGGAAAACAAATGGTGGGTGAGGTTTGTCGTTTTGTTCTAATGTCTTCCTTTTATGGCAAGTTACTGCACTGCAAGTCAGGGTGTGAGTCTACAGCAAACCCACTCTCACTGCACTAGGGCAGTGTCCACACAAGATGTTAGTGTGTGGCAAAGTGTTGAGCTGTAGATTCATACCCTTGCTTGCAACCCAGTACCTTGACATGTAGGCAGAGCCTTCTGTATGTATTTATTATAAGCAAATGGGGTGTAGAATTTGCAGGTAAGCTGCATCTTTCGCACATCTGTCACACCTAGACTGTCCTTCTAGGTCAGGGGTGGGCAAATACCAGCCCGTGGGTCGGGTCCAGTCAGGCAGAGTTAACCCCTGGCGGCGGGGGGAGGGGAGGGGACGACACACACCGCCGTATTTACTGCACTTCTGCAGGTACGGGGGGATCACAGCTCCCATCGCCTGCTGATTGCTGTTCTCAGCCAATGGAAGCTGTGATCTCCAGGACCTGCGGTGGTACAGGTAAATATAGTGGCAGTGATCCACTAGGGCAGTGGTCCCCAATGCGGTGCCCGTGGACGCCATGGCGCCCACCAGGTCATTTATGTGTGCCTGCCTAGTGACCAGGGCTGGCCCGAGCTATTCTTGCGCTCCGGGCGCGCAGTGCATGTGCGGCCCTTGCCCTGGGCACGCGGCGCATGCACAGTCCCACCCCCGGGCACCCTGCAGCCCCAAAAGGTTGGGGACCACTTCACTAGTGGCTAACCCTGCTTAATGGCCCCTGTTTTATTGCTCACCCTCGTTCTAAGTAGTCCTTCCCTCTTATTGGCAGCTATCCCCCAGGGCGGGAAAGAGGTTCTTACTTCCAGAGTGACACTGAAAAATAAACTCTAGCAAGGAGGAACACTGCAGAAAATAAGCTAACAAGATTAAAGCAGGTATAGGACTGGCCTGCTTAGTTTACATAGCGATGACGTATTCAATTACATGTTACTTACTGGCACTGACTCTTGGAGCTTACCAGAGGAAAGGCATCAAGGAAATGCTGATTTATATAATATACAAACCCCTGCCACCTGCTGTACAGTAAACAAGAGCCAGGAAGGAGACAACAACATCAAAGCTACATTTATTGATCCCAGACAAAAAGAAGTTTTAGACTCACAGTTGAAACAACAGTATTAAAATTGAACTGCTTTTCCCATAGAAACCAATAGAGAAGATTCTCTCCATCACAGCCAATCAGATATCTTACCCAATAGAGGGATGTTCAATTGCGGGTAATCAGCGAATGGAGTAGTTGATGACTGCTCGTGAGCTAACCCTGCTGCGGCTCTGCTTTTTAAATGTATTAAAAGCTGCCTGGCAGAAGCATAGGTGGGGGACTGGGCACAAGCCGGGAATCAGCTAATTCCTGGCTTGCACTCGGTCCCCTGCACTGTGCCTCTGCTTTTTAAATGTATTAAGAGCCTTAGCATCTGGGACCAGGTGGGAGCTAGGAATCAGCTGATTCCTGGCTCGTGCCTGATCCTCAGCTACGCCGCTGCCTCTTTTGCCCCCCCCCCCCCAGAGATGGTGCTGAGGGGGAACCAGCTTTTAAGCCAGCTCCCCCCAGCACCAGCTCCTGCTCCCCTGCCCCTTTGCTGCCTCTCTCTCAGAAGCAGCGTGGGGGGGGGGAGTGACTAGTGGAGTCGCTACTTGACAAGTCGCTTACATCCCTAACCCAGTCGCTCCCCTGATGTAAGCTCAGAAACAGCCACTGCTAAAGAAATGGTGGCCTCCACAGCTGTTTCTTTCATACGTAACATTGCAATGACATTGTTTGAATTTCCAGGCTTGGGTAAGCAAAGGTTAAGGTGTAAATCTCCCACGCTGAGGAGAGCGTATGTTAAGTTGCATCTTAAACTTCATATTTAGTATTCCATTACATTAAGTGGCCAGAATTACAGCTTGCTGAGGTTGTGATCAGTGCCAATTTCTATTCCAGCAATGCATCCTGTGTAATGTTAATTGCTGTGTCCGAACCTCTGCGTTTGCATACAGCCTGATTTCCTTGTTCCTGATCCCTGTGATTTCAGCAGTAACAAATCCATATTAAATGTCCCCATTTTCTCCCTTTTGTTGAAGTTTAACCTGACTCTACTGTGGTCAGTCCAGGTGTGCCATTGTCACTCTCTTGCTTTTCTTTCCCATCAGGCCCGCTTCGTTCTGATCCTCTTGGTTGGATCCTTTGATGTGATCTGCGCCATCATCCTCATCCAGAGTCAAAGCATGATGGCTTTCCGAGTGGGCGGGGCTCTGGAAAGCCTCCAGTCGCAGTATTTTATGCTGAACCTCTGTTTTTCCATGTTGACCTTTGATCTTCAGGCGCAGGTATTAATACATTCTCCATTGCTTCCCTCTCCCACTAATATTAACCATAACTTAGAATCAAACTAGCGTAACTGCAAGTCAGGTCTTCTGCAGGCTCACCCATTGATTTCCTGTGTGACCCTCTGTATAGCTGGTATAGTTTACCCATCTGTAAACTTTTCCTAACAATGCATACCTCCCTAAGTAACCTTCATAAGGAAAAATGGCCAATACCCATAAAAATAGGCCTACATAATATTTCTTATTGTCCTACTAGACAAAACAGAAGTGGACTCTTACTACAGGTTGAACTTCTCTAGTCTGACATCTTCAGGACCTGACTGGTGCCGAACCAGAGAATTTGCCAAATTACAGGAGATCAGTATTGTCTAGCAGCATTACCAACACTTCCACTGCTTACTGGGCTCTCAGACATTTTGGGGTAAATTAGAGCTAAATAATAGTACAGAACACCGAGAACCAGACTGGTGGCTGTAAACAAACTTCATGGGACTGTGGGAAACTTGGCCACACCCCTGGTAAGTGGACATCTGGTTAATTAAAATCATGCCAGACCACAGATGTTATCAGACCAGAGAGTGCTGGATTAGAGAGGTTCAACCGTGTCTGAGGGGTGGGGCCTGCACCTTCATCCGCAGTCAGATGTGACCATCAGCCAGTAGGTAGAACAGAAGGTTTATCAGGTGACAGGGACTTATCAGCACAGAAACCAGAAGCAGTCAGCACAATCCATCTTGGGGGGAGAGGAAGCTCAGAGACAGGCCCTGACCCCCCTCCCTGCAACCCAAGCCAGCCGAGACCAACTCCCACACCCAGCAGCCCTCTCCTCCTGCCTTTGCGCTGCTTCCTGGGCAAAAGGTGTCACTTGCCCACACCCCCTCCTGGGCTTAGGTTAGGAAGGACATCAGCCATTATGTACATGTTATGGCTGGGGTAGTTTCCCCCATCTAGGTATTGGTGCAGTGCCCTGGGAAACTGAGGCCCACACACAGGGTTACTACAGGACATTAGAACTCACATGCAATATAGCAAAGCCAATACAACCTCCTCTTCATCACACCCGTATGAGGAAGTCCGTTTGCCCAGAAGGCCAGTGATTTTCAAAAGCATCGAAACGCCAATGTTTCAGTTTCTAACATACAACAGGGCTTATAACTGAACAACTTTACAGCATCAATCTTCCTGCTTCAGTAGCGTCCTTCCTGCTACCTACACTGGGGAAGGAGACACTGAAGTGTGAGTGAATCACGTTCTGATAAAGAACCTAGCAGAGCAATCAGGTCAAGGTACCAACAATCTGAAACTACAACTGTGTAAAATGAATCACAGAGACCTACTTGCAGAGACTGTACTTTCAATACCTGAGCGACTTTGTTCTCTAAACCCCCCCCCCAGGAACACATGTTACTGCCCTCCCCCCTCTCCCTCCTCCCCCCCAGGAACACATGTTACTACCCTCCCAGGCTTTTGCTTGTGTGTCAGGTATAGTGTATGCCCTTGTCTCCTCCCATGATGGCTGTTTTCCCAAGAGAGAGAAATCTTGCCTTTCAGACTCTGCTCTTCTGTCATAGCCGATAGTTTGTGCCTTCTCTTTGCACACTGCTCCTGTGTGGGCGCGCACCGTTTCAAACCAGCCATTTCACTCACCTTCCGCCTCTCGTTTCTCAGCTCTGCTTCTGTGTTCTACTGCTGATGAGTCTGCGTGAAATCACCCTCCTGCACGGCATCATCCTAGCCACTGGCATCTTCTGGGCTTGCCTGAAAGTGACTGTTGGCATCATCGCAGTGAGTGTGAACCTCAGACTGACTCCGTGCGCTTTGTAGGGGGATGTGAACTCCCGGGAGGATGGGTTCTCAGCCTGGGTTGCCAACATGTGAGGAGGTCACTGTCAGGGATGTGAAAATGAGTTTAAAAAGGAAACTGTGTCACTGCTGAAAAGCCCAGCGGTTACACACTGCAGGCTCACAGCTGCGCCCACAGCAAAGCCTCCCAAGAAGCAGGGCTGCCAGCCCTTGCTGGCCCCGCTCCTGGGGAGCCAGTGTATAATGGGCGGGGGGGGGCACAGGCAGGCCAGGCCAGCCCACCATGCCACAGACGGGGCTGCTGCAGCCGGTTGGAGCAGCCCCTCCCTGTGGTGGGCCCCTCAGGACTGGAGCAGCCCTCTACCCAGAGTGGGCGGGGAGCTTCTCCACCCCTCTGGGTTAGCCAGAACCGGTAAGCGTTATCTGTTTAGGGTGGTGGTAACTGGTTAAACTTTCACCTCACTAGTGACTACCCCTCTACATTTCCCATACAGCTGAATGTGAGGGGGTGTCCTGGCTGGACAGGAGGGAGACTTGGGGGTGGCAGGGCAGGTCCCAGTTTGAGACAAAAGAGAACTATTAGCAGCCCCTGCTTCAATGTGAATGACTATATTAAGATTGAAAATAAGGGCTTGTGAATTTAAAAATTTGGATTTGATCTTATTCAGGCAAAACTTCCATTGAAATCTTTGGGTGCTCAAGTAGGGGGTGTAGGGTATGTGAACCTCCTTTTGTCTCATGCCACCAGGAAGCATTAAGTGCGATTTAGCAGCATTGAGCGTTTTCAGTTTGCTTCAGCGCTCGTGGAAATTCTTAACAGCCAAAGGACAATTTATATTTGATATGAAATGTGTTCCTGGATGCCTGCAGTTGGTTTGTTTGCTGGCTTGCCCAGCCACCCAGAACTAGCCCAGAAGCATGTGACATTTACAGTACAACTTCCTCCTGGGTAGTAAGTCACATGAAATCAACCCTCACCCATACCCTGGAATCCAGTTGCAAAA